CCCTGGTTTCTCCCTCCTTCTAACTAATCCGATTATCCAATGATACTTTTTTCATACTGCAGCATTGTTTCACAAAGCTTTGCAGCTCTCCATTTCCAACAGTACAAAAAAAAAAAAAATTCTAAACCTCTAAGGTTGACAGTCAAACTTTCCACGGGCTGCTCCTGTCTTTTACCAACCTTATAACCACTACTTCCCTAAACAGACCCCCATTCCAGCCACCCTCCTCATTTCCTGAACCTGCCCTGAGCTTCTTGCTTCCCTGCCCCCTTTCAAAACAAACTTTAATGTTTCTCCTCTCAGTTGTCTTAAATCTTCAGAATTGGGAGGACTAAAATGAAACCGATTGACTGTGCTCTTATTAAAGAAGCAGGATAGAACATCACTTTGTGCTACGAATAAAAATAATCATGGTTAACTGTATTAGGGTTCTCCAGAGAGGGTGTGTGCATGTGGGGAGACAGAGAGAAAGAGAGATAAGTATGTAAGGGACTGGCTCACAAGATGTGGAAGCTGGCAAATCCAAATCTGAAGGGAGGGAACGGGGAACAGACCCTGCTTGTTTTAGGAGGAAAAGCACTCTGGCAGAGGGAAGGACAAGCACAGAGGCCCTGCAGCACAGTAGCAGGCTGGAGGTCAGGGGAGAGATGATGATGTAGCTCAGGTCCCAAGGCAGCCTGGGGTCAGAATTCCTTCTTTCTTGGAGGATGTCAGTCTTTTTCTCTGAAGGCTTTTAACTGATTGAATGAAGCCCACCCACATTATGGAGGTAATGTGCTTTACTCAAAGTGTATTGATTTCAATGTTGATCTTATCTAAAAATACCTTCACAGAGACATCTGGACTGATATTTGACCAAATATCTGGGTAGCTTGGTCTAGACAAATTAACATAAAATTAACCATCACCCTAACCTGTACAAATGCTTATTCTGGTGACCAGATACCATTATAAATGCTTTACATATATTAACTGAGTTAATCTTTGTAAAAAAAAAATTTAATTGATTTGAGAGAGAGAGAGATCTGTTGTTCCTCTTATTGATGCATTATTGGTTGACTCTTGTATGTGCCCCGACTGGGGATGGAACCTGCAATGTTGGCATATCAGGAGGATGCTCTAACCAACTGAGTTACAGGGCCAGGGCTAACTCAGTTCATCTTAACAACCCTATAAGATAGGGTTATTAAAGCCCTAGACAGTTTGGCTCAGTGGATAGAGCGTCGGCCTGCGGACTGAAGGGTCCCAGGTTTGATTCCGGTCAAGGGCATGTACCTTGGTTGCAGGCACATCCCCAGTGGGGAGTGTGCAAGAGGCAGCTGATCGATGTTTCTCTCTCATCGATGTTTCTAACTCTCCCTCTCCCTTCCTCTCTGTAAAATAAAATCAGTAAAATATATTAAAAAATAAATAAATAAAAGTTTTTAAAAAGATAGGGTTATTAATTATCATCCCCATTTTACAGATGAGGCACAGGGAGATTAAGTAACTGTTTGATGACTCTGGGACTTGAATCCTTGCAATATGGCTCCAGAATATATCTTCTTAACTACTTACCTCTCAAGAAAAAAAGGGGGGAAAACTGAACTCATCAATACTTTACATGTAAAGTATCTGCCCCCATAAACCTCTTAGTTTGCCTACCATTCACATCTGTTAGATGTCAACTTGGTGTGTATTTTTTGTTTTGTTTTGTTTTGTTTTTGGTTAATGCTCACCTGAGGATATTTTTTCTATTGATTTTTAGAGGGAGTGGAAGGGAGAGTTAGAGACAGAGAGAAACATCGATGTCGGAGAGACACATCGATTGGTTACCTCCTGCACACACCCCGACTAGGGCTGGGGAACCTGCAACCAAGGTACGTGCCCTTGACTGAAATTGAATCCAGGACCCTTCATTCCTCAGGCCGACATTCTACCCACTGAGCCAAACCAGCTAGGGCTAGATGTCAACTTTTACAGAAACCTTACATAGGTCCATACAATGGCTCTTTAATGTAAGCAGTATTAACCCACTTTTACAGATGATAAAATTTTGAGGCACAGAGAGGTTCATGGCTTGCCCCAGGCCACAGAGTTATTAGTGTAATAGAAGGGATTTAAACCCAGGACTGGTCTTCAAAGCATATCTCCTTAACCATACTACCTCTCTGTTCATAGCTTATCAATATTAAGATGTTCCTACTCGTGCCTGTTTTGAAGACTTTAAATTACTTGAACAAAAATTGGTTCTCTGTTTTGATGTGTTCCACAAGTGAAATAAATTTCTGACTACTTCATGCACCAGGAAAGAACATAGATTGCAGCTAAAGTAAATGGAAAGAAATCAAAGGTTATTTCATGTTTTACTGGGTAGAGATTAGATCAGTGGTTCTCAGCCTTCCTAATGCCGCAACCCTTTAATACAGTTCTTCAGGTTGTGGAGACCCCCAATTTCATTGTTACAAATTGAACATAATTAAAGCATAGTGATTAATCACAAAAACAATATGTAATTATATATGTGTTTTATGATGGTCTTAGGCGACCCCTGTGAAAGGGTCGTTCGACCCCCAAAGGGGTCATGATCCACAGGTTGAGAACTGCTGGATTAGATAGTATCATCCATTGGGGGCCTGCTGTGTTTAGAGGAAATGCAAGGAAAGAACACATCACTCTGAAGGATTAAAATGAGAGAAAGTGAGCAGTAAGAGTAGACTATAGATTAAACCTGAGAGGTAAATTTGCCTAAGACTAGCCTACTAGAAAGAGCTTCGATGAGGTTTGGGAAAACAAAATAGAAATTGCCCATTCTGCAGTGTTAGCTGCCTACATTGAAATTAGGTGAATTTACTTTCTGTCTGTTTTTAAATGGCTGATGTAGAAAGTTTATTTCAGAAGGAGGCTTGATTTCCCAATGGGGCCCGTGGGATGGCAAAATATACAGTACTGCATGTTTACTGTAGATAAGAATCGTTAGTAGAGCAGGGTTTGCCAACAGGGAACCTTGCATGTCTTCCTTCTTAACTCACTGATTGAACTTACAGCTTAGGAGAGGAAAGGCCCAGGAGTCTTTTTGTCTGTTCAGACGTTAATATGATCTCTTCCTAAGCCTTAGGAGTACCCTAATTAAGTTAATAACAATGTACCTACCTATATAGTTTAAGTTTAAAAAATGTGGCTCTCAAAAGAAATTTCAATCGTTGTACTGTTGATATTTGGCTCTGTTGACTAATGAGTTTGCTGACCACTGACCTAGAAGAACTTGAATTAGGAACATTGCCCATAAAAGGAAATTATCAGAAAACTTCATTTGACCTATTTTGGGGCAGGACAAACTTTGATTTGCTAAATGTCTGTTTTTCTTAACATTCTGCAATTATCCTTTGAAACTACCATCTCATCTGTAGCTCAGAATGTCTTACATAATCCTTTTCCTTTTTATCTCTGAATCTCTCATGCATGTGGGGGGATCTCTGACTCGCTCATGTATGTGGGGATCCCATACATATATGTATGTATTAAATTTGGTTATTTTCTCATGTTAATCTGTCTTATGTCTATTTGGTTATTAGACCAGCCAGAAGAACCTTGAGGGTAGAGGTAAGTTTGTTCCTCTCCCACAGTTGAATTCATTTCCTCCTCTTCCCCTACATTTTTCAGAAAATTAGATGCAAACTCTGAGAGGTGAAGAGACTTGCCCAAGGCCACAGGATCTGTGATTATAAGCCAAATTTCTAGCATTGCAGGCAAGCTCTCAGTCTACCTCTTCACACAATATGCAATCATAACTCCTAAAAACAGGCAATAAAGCTCGAGATTCTATCATGGACATGAACTTGTAGCCAAGCTTTGCCAAAGTTCTTTGGCACTTCCTATAAGGAAGACACCAAGGCTGTAGGTAGGATTGACTCTAGGCAATATTGGGAAGTAGGTAAAGTGTGAATTCAGTGGCCTCGTACTTGCCTCTTCTGAGAGGCTGTGTAATACTGTATAGTAGGGATGGAGAACATGACTCTAGAGACACCGAACCATTTATAAACTTTATAAACTGTGACCTTGGGCCAGTTTCCCAACCTTCCTATGCCCAATTCCCTCATATAGATGGAGACGGTAGTATTTTGAAATCAAGCTTTAGGGGAGGGTTAAATAAACTAACATGTGCAAAGTATCTTGAGTGGTTCTTAGCTTTAGATAACCTCATAAATGTTAGACATTTTTATTAGTTCATGCCTTTGCTTGGAACACTACCGTGTTCTGGGCTTGCTTGTCTCTGACATTATTGCCTGCTCACAAAATGTCTCTTCTTTGTCCTCTATTGAAACTCTCTCTCCTTATTTGTTCAATAGGTGTCTGTTTACTCATTCAAATAATATTATATACATGGAGAGAGAGTAGCTTTTCATGTCAATATAGATAAATTAATAAATAATCACTATTGTTCACGTGAGGGTTCAGAACAAGCCACCCCAGCGGTATCTCAGTGGTATGCAGATTACTCTGAGCTAAAGGCAATTTCAGCTTCAAGTTCAAGAGAAACTTTGAGCTAAAGGGGGTATATGAGAAATCTCTGTGCCTTCCACTCGGTTTTATCCCAGGTACACCCAACTCTGCTCTACAAAAATAGTCTATTTAAAATATATATTTAAAGTTGATTTAGCAGTATGATTGAATAATTTAAAATACATGTTTATAGAATTGAATCTGGGGTTGTAGTTAGATTGCATTTGCAAGATATGATTTTCATATTTAAATACTGTACTCAATTTTTTAAAAAAGATCTTTTTTAAATATATATTTTTAATATATATTTTTATTTATTTCAGAGAGGAAGGGAGAGTGAGAGAGAGAAACATCAATGAGAATCATTATATATTTATATGAGAATCATACTTTTAACTTTTTGAAAATTATACTTTGACAATATCCTCATGGAACTTACAGTCTGGTTACATACTTTCCCTCTTTGTTTTCTTTTTATAGTTTGAAGTTCAAACTAGTGGACTGAGATAAAATAATATTTCCTAATCATTTTACTCTCTCCCAAGGCCTTTTTGGATAGTAAATTGAAGGAAACCAAAATATGTCTCCCCAAAAATATGCCTTTGGACATAAAAATTATTTTGAACTGGATGAAAGTGATTAAAAAGCACCAAGTAGCTCAGCCCACATGGCTCAGTAGTTGAGCATCAACCTATGAGCCAGGCGGTCAAGGTTCAATCCCTGGTCAGGGCACATGAAGGGTTGTGGGCTCAATCCCCAGATAGGGACGTGCAGAAGGCAGCCAATCAATGATTCTCTCTCGTCATTGGTGTTTCTATCTCTAGCTCCCTCTCCCTTCCTCTCTGAAATCAATAAAAAATGTATTTTTAAAAAACACATAGTCCCTATCTCTCATGGAGTTGATAGTAATTCTCTCTCCATGAACAGTAACAACAATAACTAATACATCAAGAGTACTTTCTATATACCATCCACTCTTCTAAGCAACTTACATTTATTAACTAATCTTAATACAACTATAAAGGTATTATTTTTACCATTTTGTAGATGAGGAAACTAAGGCACAGAGTGTGTGAGAAATGCGCCCAAAGTCACGCAGCTACCATGGTAGACCCTGTGTACAATTTGCCTCTCCTTTACTGCACTTACTTTCCTACCAATGTAGATGTCACCTGAGGTGTTACATTAATCCATGCATTTATTACTTTATTCACTCACCACACTGCTATTAAACATCTTTGATGTGCCAGACATGTGGGTTAACAAAGAATTATATGTTTAAGGATCTGTCATTGAGTAGATTACAGTTGATTGAGAAAGTCAGATCCTTAAACATACAATTCCAGCACATGTTAAGTACAAAGGTGGAGCTATATACCAATTAAAATGGAAACAGAGAGGAGGAAATGGCTAGCTTTGCCTCAGGTTGCTGAGAAAGATTTTACTGAAGAGGAAATTTTTTATTTGTGTCTTTAAAGCTAAATAGCCACTCATTAGTTAAAGAATAACAGGCAGATCAATCCAGAGAAAGGAGAGAACACAGGGAAAGGCCTGGAGTCATGCCAGTGCAAGGTATGGACTAGCTATGATGATGTAGGTGAACTGGAAATAGCGTGGCTGCTTAGGCTGAAGACTTTAGAGAATCGGGCACCATTTGGAAGAATATCAGGGCTAATAGATCCTAAGGACAAGGAAGGATCGGTTGGTGGCTATTCCAGGCATCTAAGCAAGAAAGTCAATGAGTCAACTAAAGCATTGAGAGAAATGAATGGATTTGAGAAATATTGAAGAGCATGAAGCAACAGAACCTAGTGATTGCTTAACACTGGGAGAAAGGAGTGTTTAGGTGACAGGGCAAATAGTGGTGACAACCAAAGAAGTATCTCAAATTCTACAAGATTATTTTTGACAGCGGACAGCCTCAAGCACTGCCCCCAACCTGCCAGGGTCACAGATCCGTGTCTTGGTCCCGCGGACAGCCTCAAGCACTGCCCCCACCCGCCAGGTCATGGATCCATGTCTTGGTCCCGCGGACAGCCTCAAGCGCTGGCCCCACCCGCTAGGTCATGGATCTGGGTCCCAGACCACGGACAGCCTTGCCCGCTGCCGCTGCCTTCAGTATGCAAATTAGCTGCCATCTTGTTGCTTCAGGGTGGGGGTCCCCACTGGGGTTCCTGGCCAGTCTGGGTGAGGGGCTCAGGGCCATTTTCAGGCTGGCGAGCGACGGCAACTCCCAACTTCTCCTTTTTTTCTTTTTTCTTTTTTTATTCTGGGATTTATTTACCTTCTATGGCTGTCACTATTGTCTGTGTCCATGGGCTATGCATATAAGTATATACATTCTTTAATTAATCTCTTCCAATCCCCCTCCCTGCCCCTCTGAGGTTTGCTTCCGTGCCTCTGGACCTATTTTGTTGGTCAGTAGAATATTACGCTAAGTGAAATAAGCCCTCAGAGAAAGGCAAATATCATGTGACCTCATTTATCTGTGGAACCTAATGTACACTAATTTTGAGAGCTTCCTCCTTGTCTGGCAGTTGATGTTTCACTTCATTTTGAGAATGTACCCTCCTGGCCTCAAAACCCTCCTGGAGGAACTGAAATCCTTTCCAGATCTGACTTTTTTTTTCTGGAAAGAATCAAACCCTGGTTTTAATTTCAGAGAAAGGTGGGAAGAGAAGAAATCTGGGAATGTGGAGCAGCTAAGATATTGGATTGGATTTGGGGCTTGTTTTGTTTGTGGTATCTCAAGGAAATTCAAATGGAGATGAGAAAAGGAACAACAGGGAAAGTAAGTCAGATTTTGAAGTTTTTCTTTTGAAAATACTTACCAAGTGTTTGGTTTCAGACATAATAGTCGAACAGCATCTTTCCGGGCATTACTTCAAGTTTTTGCAAAGCAACCCTGTACATAACTAAATTTTTTTTCTAAATAACTTTGGAAAAGAAATTAAACCAAGTATGCATCAATGGCCGAGGTTGTGAGGCCTATTTTTTTTCATATAGGTTTTTTTCTGAAGGTAGTTTATAATTCACATTCTGAAATTTGCCATTTGCTCATGAGTAAAGACCCACATTGGAACATGTGTCATAAAATATGTACAAAAAATTTGACAAATACATCTATGAAAAGGTTGTCATTTAATTTTTCCTAATTATGAAAAATACATGTTGGCCATAGAGAATATAAAATACAGAAGCTAAAAAAGTCATCTTACTATTAAATGCAAGTACCCTGAGCATTTTAAATGTATTCTCTTCCCAGCTTTCTTCTTTTTCTTTCTTTTTGATTACTGCATTTCTTTTGTTTCATAATTATAACTAGTAGCCCGGTGCACAAAATTCATGCACATTAAAAGGGAATTAATTCCCCTAACTGGTTTCCCCTAACTCAAGGGCCCCAGGTTCAATTCCGGTCAGGGGAATGTACTTTGGTTGTGGGCACATCCCCCGTGGGGAGTGTGCAGGAGGCAGCTGATCGATGTTTCTCTCTCATCGATGTTTCTAACTCTCTATCCCTCTCCCTTCCTCTCTGTAAAAAATCAATAAAATATATTTTTTTAAAAAGGAAATTAATTAGCAGAGATATTTTAATATTGCTATTTGCTTTTTCTCTATAATAGAAATGTGAGAGATGAAAGGAAATTAGTAAAATGCATATGAAAATAATATATAAATTTATTAATAAATAAACAGTAACAAAAGGATATAACAACAACAGAGGCATGATATAAAAATGACAAAACGTGATATGAAAACAACAAAAACATGATA